TATTTATTTATAATTTAATTTCTAATAATTTTGAATCTTTAAAGAAGAGTTTCTAAATGTCTCTAGTTTAAAAATCCAATGGAAATGCTCTTACATGTCAACTACCCTTTAAAATTTAAAATTTTCTAATTTTAATTAATTTAACACAAATGTTGTAGCGTTAAATTACGTAGAGAGAAGAATAGTGTCAAAATTTATTTATTTAAGTATTATACGTTGACAATAATTGATTACATCAATAAAATTTATTTTTTAAAATCCTAATGTTGGTACATAAAGATCAGTCACAAGCCAAAGTAATTTAATTTTGATTTTGGATATTACAAATTTATAATAATTCGGTAACAATTGTGAAATAAAAAGTCTCTAAAAGATCTTGCTGGAAAAAAGAACCTAAGTTACTTGAAATTAATTGGTCATCAAGGTACATCTCTCACTAAACACTCATCTTTAATGGCTTAGTCGAATTTCATACCGATTATGGGCTTGATTGGCAAGTGCTTTAGAGTCTTTACAAAGCAAAAAAATTTCTAAAGCTTTGAAATACATCCAATCAAGCTTTAGAAGCTTTGGCTTTCCTTTTTTTTCTCACAGCCAAAATATTTCCTTAATTCATCTTTTTGGCTGTAGAAAGCCTTTTTTTCTAAAGCACATAATTTTTAACTTTCTAAAATTTTAAATTCTACAGCCACAATATTACAGCAATAAAATCTACAGCCACAGCAAATAAACCTACAGTCATATCTCTACAGCAAAAAATGTAAAGCTACAGCCCAATCAGGCCCTATATAACTTTCCGTACATTAAACTTGAATCACAATAATTTTTTTTTTAAAACATGGAAAGGTAGTAGTAATATTCAATATAGTTTCTCAAGGATTTATATTAATTATGATATTTAATATTTTTTCTTGCAAATACTAACATATAGCTTAGATATTATCATATGTATATCAAATTTTATTTGCTATATATATACCAAAAATCGTTGCCTTGAACACAAAGTAATGATATTACCTTTTTGACATATCAAATTTTCGAAAAGTCAACTTTTGATAGAGATAAATGGCAAGTTTAATTATTATTTAAAAAATAAATAATTTAAAATATATATAACTGTAAAATGTTTCCTTGTAATTGAAACAATAAGCCAAAAATGGTAAGCATATTAATTTTTTTTTGGTTACATCTAATAGTAATGCTAAAAGTAAATTTATATGGCTAAAATAGGATTTGCATGTTTTGGTTTTGATAGGAGTGGTAGGAGATGGATTCATGGCTCGTGATCTAACGTTCCAGAACACGACGGGACCAGACGCTAATCAAGCGGTGGCGTTTAGATCCGACAGCGATTTTTCTCTGCTCGAGAATTGTGAGTTCCTTGGGAACCAAGATACTCTCTATGCCCATGGTCTTCGTCAGTTCTACAAAAACTGCCGTATCCAAAGAAATGTTGACTTCATCTTTGGCAATTCAGCTGCTGTCTTTCAAGACTGTGAAATCCTAATCGCACTGCGGCAACTTAATCCCGAAAAGGGAGAGAAAAACGAAGTCACTGCCCAAGTAAGAATTCACCCGTCTCAGTCCACGGGTTTCGTGTTTTGAACTGTTTGATTAACGGAACAGAGGAGTACATGGAGCTGTTTAAAGCTAAACCTAAGGTGCATAAGAATTTCTTGGGGAGGCCATGGAAAGATCACTCTAGGAATGTGTTTATAGGTTGTAATTTAGAGGCTTTGATAACTCCTGATGGATGGTTACCGTCGAGCGGGGATTTCGCCCTCAAGACGCTTTATTACGGTGAATCTAAGAACACGGGTCCGGGATCAGATAGGTCACAAAGGGTTTCATGGAGCAGTGAGATAGAGGATGAGCATGTTCATGTGTATTCGGTGGCTGACTTTATTCAGGCTGATGAGTAGGCTTCGACATAGTCTTAACTCAATCTTTAAGACTATAAAGGGTTTTGTAATGTTTTAAGAGAAGAAAACCTTCTCATTGTACTTTAGTTGATAAAGTGTTTTAAACATAAAAGCAAACATTTCATTCATGTTATATCAATTGAGAGTTCATAATCTTAGGACTAATTGAAGTAAAACAATAAAATTTCAAAATTTGGAAGGAAGCAACTTTTTTGCTTATAGATGTCTGTAAGGAATGATTCCATTTTCCATATATAGCGTGTTGGGCTAAAATCATAAATGAGTATGGATGAGGATCTCAAGTTGCGTTTTGCTTGACGTTAAAGCAGAATTTGTTGTAAGAATACGAAATCCCCAAAAGTTTTCAACGAAGTAGACATCATCATCATCATTATCATTATCCACCATCTCAATGGTTTAGAGTTGGCTGTAAAAGTCAGGAGGATGATCGAGGTTGCAGAAACTGGTAAAGGGCAGGTTCAAAAAACATTAAATTCAAAGAAGAATAGGTTTCAAATGAAAAATATCAAATTGGGGGGTTTAGGTTCTGTTAAGTAGTTCACCTAAAGATAGTTAAGTAGGTATGGATTTACTGTTTTTGGTGGATCATAGGGCCACACATTAGGAGATTAGCATCTCAAACTCTAACCTAATCTTGTAGAAGCAAGAAAAAGAGAGTAACTTTTTATACTAACAGGTTAGTAAATAGGTAAATAGGTAAAGAAAAAGCCTCTCCAAGCCTGTTAATGTAGATTACAATTTAAATGTTCAAACAAATAAATAAAACTAACTTTATTATTTGCCCCTGTGAAAACATATTCTGGAAAATGATGAATGATCACGAAAATACATTTTGAGACAAAAAAAAAAAAGATATTTGGTGGACAGGGAAGTTTATTATGATGCCACATTACAGCTCGAGAGAGAAAGATATTACCAGAAACACGAGTCAAAGATAATAGAAATCAAATGGCTACAGCCACAAGCAAGAGATAGAAACATAGTTTTTTAAAAACACAACCAAGACTCGTAAGAGTTTTGAGCCTATTCATTTGCTAAATGAGTTGAGTCAACCCATGAACTCATTTAACTCTAAACTCATTGGGTAATGAGTTGAGTTGAGTTGGGTTAAACATTTTGACATCCTTTGATCATATAATGAAACGTTAATAAGTCAAAGAAGCCTGATCATATACTAATCATAGATTCTTCAATAATCAGTAGCTGAGGAAAACAAATTGATAGAAGGCCAAACCAAAATAGCAGCCTACAAAATACATAATCCAGTATAAAGTAAAACCTTGTCAAATAAAAGCCATAAAGCAACTTCTGATCTTAGTTCATCAGATTAAAACTTACAAACTAACGACAATAAGTGGGTTAAATAAAATAGACATAAATAGATATAAAAGACTTCCTTCTATATTACCGCAACCTTCTTTACTCTTGTTTCAACGGCTTGATAAAAAGCTTTATGTCCAACATTTCACCAAGCAATAAACTCTTAGGGCTCAACATGAAATTCTCTTGAGAGGTTTGAAAACTCACTTCAAGAATCTTCTTCACTTTTGGTGACTTGTGAATCACAGTGTGTCCATCCACAGCGTAAGAGAGATAATATGAGAACTGTCCTACTTCTGGAGCAGATATGGTGCAACAGAGCTTACGGTTACATAAACACCGTACCGCTCCCTAAAACACTGCAATGCAAACAATATATAGTCTCCTCGTTCCTTCCATTATAAATTGCTATCTTATCACTGATCTTCATCCGGACCCTAAAGCAAATGTCACAGTTGATATGAGATATAACCAATCCGGTGGGAGGATGTATGATAGTGATCATACAGATCCTTGTATGAGCCAATGTAATTGCAGTCTTGGACAGGGCCATGAGCATGGAGAGAAGTTGCAAACTTTCTCATGAGTTGATTCTTTCCCATAAATTACATTCTTGGTGCAACCTAACTTTGCGTTTCGGCACGGGAAAAAGAGTGATTCAAGAACGCTCTCCATTGCTCTGCAACGCCTGTGGCCAATAGGCAAAGCACATGCATCACACTGAAATACAAAACCAATGCATTGTGATTAAAAGTAATATAAGCCAAACTGCCAAAATTACAAATTAGTCATTATCATTTGGCATTTTTGCTTACATTACTCTAGTTTGACCTTACGAAATCCGGTCTAAACTGAAACAAAAGCCACTAAGCAACTATATATCTGGTCAAAGCTTATATATATTGATAACCACAATGGACAAGTTAGAAAGAAAAAAAACAAAAAAAAAAAACAGACGTGATATAGAGAGTTTCCATAGGAATATAATTAAAAGACCATCTTCTATATCACCATTAATGTATTAGCAGAAGAATTGATAAAGAAAAAGAGAAACTAATTTTACTTGATATAGGCCATTGGAGCAGCATCACCAACTCGTATGAGTACGGAGCATTCTAGTGTATCCACCAGCTCTATCTCTGTAACAAATAATATTTATCCCGATTATGCAAAGCGCTTAGATAATGACAGTTAAATGATGCCAAAGGAATATGAAGATTCACTTGTATCTATATGCTAATTCAGTGAAAATCTTGTGAAGGACATCATCTCCTCTCACAAAACCAGCTGCTCTCCTTGCGGCAGCGAGTGTACCCTATAAATTTCATCACCAAGATAAAGTTATCATACATAACGAACTAACACCTCGAACAAACCATATAGTACTATATTTTCATTTGCCTCCATTCTCTATACCCAGCCGCGGAGCCGCCTTCCTATAAGGCAAACATCAATGCTGAAACATAAGTGACATGAAATAGAAAATAACGGATCTTAAAAATAAAAAGAGAGAGATTCACTGATTATGTAGAAGAAGACACTTACTTGTTGCGTGTTGTATGAGATCTCTTAGGCTATTTTTCAGTTCGTATAACATAAGAGATTTGAGGATGATAGAAACAAATACATATCGATATGTGGAAGAAAATTAGATTTTATATTTGTGGAAAGGATATGAAATCTTACGTTGGCGGCGAACAAAATCATCAAATATTTTAATATTGTTCTATTGTTGAATAGGACAAATAGAGAAAAACTCCAGAACAGATCCATGACCATAACACTAATGATATAAATTTTATATAACCAAAAAATATTAGTAAACTCTACCATGTATACACAGGAAATAGAGATAAATTTACAATGATCATCAATAATCGTTCAAACCAAAAAATAAAAATACAAACGCACTGAAATTAAAACAAACACTAATAATACCTTATCATACTTTCTTTTTTACTTCAGCAACTCGTTTGTCTAAACTCGCTTTTATCGAAGCTTCAGGATCGGTATACCTAAAACAGAAATCAAAAGATACAAAATCAGTAAAAAAATAATAATAATTCGTAGAACAACCAACAAATTCATAGAACAAAAAGCATAATCGCATGATAAGAAATTCGTTAAGCAATATAAAAAACCCTAATATCAAAACTATCTATTGAACATAAAAAGCTGGTTCGTAACTGTGGGGCAGAAACTCTGTATTTATAGCCTCAAACTTAGGGCAAACCTCCGATATTATCTTAAGAAATTTAACTTTTTTAATTAGAAACTAAATCAGAAAACTAACAAAAACGAATATTAACTACTAAGATATAGAATTTATCCAAAAAATAACAAATAAATTAAAGCTAAGATTCCATAATCCTTAAAGTCGAGACATTATGACATTCGTATCCCCAACGATTACACTATACAAAAAAAAAATTTAAGGGTGATTAAGACTAATCATCTCAAAACACGATTAGACTTATATACCCCTAACAATTAAGAACAAAAAATTTCGAAATCGAGGGTGTTTAGGACATTATTATAGAGATCAACACACGATTAGACTTATATACCCCTAATTACGAAGAAGAAGAAATTTCGAGAAGAACAATTCATTAAGGGTGTTTAGGACAAATCATTCCAACTTTTAACCACAGGCCTCCAATGCCCTAACTTTGAATATGGTGCGTTTCTACTTCTCAATTAATTATTGTAGAGATTTAACATTGCATATTGGTTTCACGATTAACTATATAATAAATAATTACGTTATTTTCGTTTTATCGAAAACTATCTCTAGTATTACAGTAAATGTTTTGGCAAAAATAATCGATTCGTGAGAGTCTACGGAAAACAAGAAAATTAGTCGAATATAATCTCTTTATTGATCAAAGTATCGATTGCAAAGTACAAGAATTAAGGCACAACGAATCAATCTATAAACCCTAGTCGTGTTCTAGAGTTGAGTCGTGTGTCTCGCCGTTTTTCGTAGTCTCTTGTGTTTGCTCTCGATTTCGTGTCGTCTTTCGTCGAATAAGACTCTCCTTTTATAGAGAAGTCTTCACGATCCTAATCCTCGTGGGATTCGGATTTGAGCAACCGCCCTTCACGTGATAAAGTCGTCTCCGATATTCTCTCATTAAGATTATCTCGAATATTCTCTTCACAAGATTATCTCAAATATTCTCTTGATAAAGTCAATATCTTGACAGGATAAAGTCGTTTCTAGAATCTAGTTACGGCCCGTATTGTCCCGATTTCTGTGGACTACGGCCCATATTGTCACGGTTCTTGCCGATTTGGCCCGCATTAATTATTCATGAAACTTTCTAGAATATTCTTTACTATTTTCCCTATTCATAAGAGTTAATAAATTTACAATGAAGTTTATTCAATATAATCTTCAAGGTTAAAATTATACCCAACAGTAAACTTTTATCTA